CACAGAGTGGGCGCAGAAAGAGGTGAGGAGTGCGCCCAGCTCTCAATTTTTGTGAAGGAGACTTTGCTCGTTCAGGCAAATCACAGGCACGCCGAATAGAGCGGCGGATCCGCCAGGCGGAGCGGCGGCGTCGGGGGGGGAAGGTGACTCCCGGCCTGCGAGCTGAGGGGCACGTGGCAGCCCCTGCCGGCCCTCCCAGCTCTCCAACAGGACTAACCATCTGCATTCTCTCAGCCCTCATGCAAGCAATACTTCCCACGCGGCGGCGTGGGCCTCAAGAAGACCTTCCTGGAAAGAGCCCGCCTTCCCTCAGCGCGAGAGAAGAGATGCCCTTCGACCATGCACATATCCTCCAACAGCTGATTCCGCTAGTCGCAGCAAACCATCGTCCATTAGCCATCCGCTCAGGACCTGCTCCATTTTCAAGACACATTCGTGCAACGAGCCAGCCAGCATGGCATGTGCGTATATGGCTCTCCTCACTCGCCTCCTCTCTCTTCCCTGGTCAGCGTGGTCTCTCACAATCTTGCTTCTCTATAATCAGTCCGAGCTTTCCCGCTCCTAATCCTCTTTATTTTTAGTTTTCCGCAATGTCTTAATTGACTTTCTCGGCCACGCCTCCTCTATCAGTGATAATGAGTCGCGGGTACTGAAACAGTCCCTATAATTTGATAGGCTTAGTGTCCTTCCTTAGAGCATATTATACCTCTTCCAGCCCCTGCTTCTCGAGCATGGGCCTCGTCAGCTCGTCTACTCTTATTCCTTTAATCGTCTATAGTTTTAAGAAATTCTAAGATCTACCCTTTTATCTTCTATTTAAATCTCATTTGTTTTAATCTATTCCCTCAAAAACTCAACATTTCATCCGTGACGTCCGGGCACGCCTGCCCACCACCTGAATATTGTAAGATTTCGACTTTCAGTCGATCAATGAGGGAGGGGCCTCTTTGGTATTCCACCAGCGCTCTTCCTGTACATTTGCTGCTATTTCCTCACTTAGCTGCTCCATACAGCTCTCTTTTTATTTTTGTTTCTCTAAACCTCTACTGCGGCTTTTTCGTTGTCCGACGTCGCGGCACGCCTGCCACCTAGTGGTCGACAGCCTTATGATAACTCGCTGCCTTCTGACCACATTATCTCGCGCCCCTCTAAAATACCGCTCCCACTTTTATACCGGTCTCGTGACCCTGACCAACATGAAGTGCTAAAATTGGTGATGAGTTTGTTTGTTTTTGGATTTGTTATGTTTGTTATGATTGATTGTTATAGGTGTAAATGAAATTATATATTGATGCATAAGTGTACATTTATCGGTTGACATCTATCTTAATTTGTCTCTCGCGGCCTCCATTGCTTGCCCGCCGGACGTCACAGGCACGCCTGCCCACGAGTGGTCGACAGCTAATGAGGGTGGGGCCTCTGGAATTTTCCCCGCCCCCCCTGCCCGCACACGGTCTCTATTGGCTCGCCGTCCGTGACGTCACGGGCACGGCTGCCCATGAGTGGTCGACAGCCTATGAGGGTGGGGCCTCTGGAATCCCCGCCCACCCCCACGCAGCCTCCATTGGCTCGGCGTCCGTGACGTCACGAACACGCCTCCCAATGAGTGGTCGACAGCCTAGGGTGGGGCCTCTGGAATCCCCGCCCCCACCTGCGTGGCCTCCATTGGCTCGCCTATCCGTGATGCCACAGGCTCGCTTCCCAATGAGTGGTTGACAGCTAATGAGGGTGGGGCCTCTGGAATCCCCTGCCCGTGCAGCCTCCATTGGCTCGCCGTCCGTGACGTCAGGGGCACGGCTGCCCACGAGTGATTGACAGCCTATGAGGGTGGGGCCTCTGGAATCCCTGCCCCTGCCCGCACGCAGCCTCCATTGGCTCGCCGTCCGTGACGTCACTGGCACGCCTGCCCACGAGTGGTCGACAGGCTATGGGGGTGGGGCTTCTGGAATCGCATGGCCAGGAGGGGCTGACACCTCCTGGGAGAGAACCTGTGACGTCATGAGGCCAGGAGGTGATTGGCAGCTCCGGGGTGGGCCCTCTTTGACGTCAAAGACCAAGGGAAGGACCTTTGACAACTCCCCAGGGTGGACGGGTGACCAGAGTCGAGGTCGTCCCTCCTGGGAGATGTCTTGACGTCCCATGCGACAATGAATGATTGACAGCCTCCCAGGCGGGGCGGAGTCCGCGGTGAGCGTTGATGGCTCTGGGGGGGGAGGGGCCTCATGTACGCCTGGGACGGGGAGTGCATTGACAGTCAGGATGGGGCGGTGACACG